TTTTTTTAACATATTCTGCCTTACTTGTTTTGAATGTATTCTAGTACATAATTGAATTCTGATGGAGTTAGTTTTTTCTAATTATTTTTATATTTGTGAATCTTCGTTGTCCTATGTAATTTCATTGGTTGTGAATTTACTTTGATATTAAATTTACTTATATTTTAATGTCTTATAGGATGTAGTATCAGATTTTGGTGTAAGGAAAGTAATAGATTTTGGGAATTTTGAAACAGATAAATTTAGTAGAGGTGGTGGTGTGTTTACATCCTGTAATTGAGTTGTTGACACTGCTAAATTAATAAATGCATTCTTTTGTGTTAGCTGAAATTGGGTTAATTTATTAGCCTTTATTACTTTTTTAAGTCTTTGAAAATTTTTAGGTAGATTTTCTCTTTCTTCTGCACCTGCACCATTGTTTTCGAAACAGTGTAGTTATGTCCTTTACGCCTGTAAATCACCCTAAACTAAACCAGAATTCATGGTTTTCATAGTATGTACTGAAAAATCCTGGATTAACTGTTTTCCTTTTAGTAGGTGGCACTATGTCTTCTGAGCTGGTACCTGTGGACCGTTGGCTTAAAGGAGACATGGATTTTGACCACTTGAGTTTTTCAGAAATTATTTGGTGCTTAGGTTCTTGACTTCCTGAGTTTGGAAATCATTTATTTAGGCTATAGTGAATTATACAGTTACTTCTTTAGACTTGCAGTCTGTATCAATTACTGATTCTTTGAACTGACAGTTTGTATTGACTATTTCATGTACTTAAAGAAATTCGTGGGGGACTTGGAGTTTTGGTGTTAAAGAAATGTTGATTTTTTCCGCCCCCCTCTCTCTGTAGTTGATATAGAGATTAGGTTTCAGGTACCTCGAGGAGGAGGAAGCATATATATATTGTAGTACATCAGTTCTAAGATACCAATTTTTAAGTATTTGAATATCTCTGAATTTAGGATGCATTGTATAACTGATGTATGTTGGCAGCAATTTTACATTCTTAGTGGCACATGAAACAATAGTGCATCTTCTAAGTTATATCTTGAATACCAGTATCCTCAGTTTAGTGAAACATGGCAATCATTGTTCTAGCTCTTATGCTTAGTAATATCCTTGAAGAATGGCTTAAAGATTTAAACATTATTGAAAGCAGAAAAGTTTTTATTTTGAGTTTCAACTGATAGATTCTTTCTTTAGAACTTAATATTTAAAGTTATATTTAAAAAAAGAATCCACGAGCTAAACATTTGTTTAAAGTTTATTCCCAAAACATGTGACTGTTTTTGTGTAAGTGTGAGACAAAGTCTCCCTAATTTTAATCCCTGATTTCGGTGATAATGAATCGAAAACTTAATATATTTGATTTTGTATTCTTATTTTTATATTTTATTTAAAAATTTTGTGAGTAAAGTAGAGAGTATGATTTGATTAAAGTCAGAGTCCAGGTGTTAAAGTCCACAGTGGTTTGAGGTAATTTCTGATTCTTAGGTTTGTCTGGGATTCCAGAGAACCTTGGTAGTTCTCAGAGATTTCATGCCAGTCTAGACCCTTGGGGTTAGTTATGGGATCAGAGAACTCATCTGCTTTTCTCGTGCACAGGAGAAAAACATAGGCTCAATATCAGGCTGGCTTTAGAGACTTGAATTCAAGTTGAGTCTTGTAATTTGTATATTTTGTTTACAATATTTAGCAAGCTTATTTTAATGCAGTATTTTAGTTCTGCAAATATTTTAAAATGAAGATGGATTATGTAATAAGTGTCCATTTCCGAGATTTTTTTTAGCTCCGAGTTACTTGTTGCTATTCTGTTAATAGTTTCACTAGCCCTTGTAAACAGGACTTTTAAGTTTGTTATACTTAGTTTCAAAGTATGACTTTTTTTTAAATTGTTAAACCATAAAATTTACCAACTTAACCATTTTTAAATGTATGGTTTAATAGTGTTAAGCTTATTCACATTATTGTGAAACGGTTCAGAACTTTTTGATCTTGCAAAACTAAAACACTGTGCCTATTAAACAACAATTCTCCTCCTCCTCCTCCTCCTCCTCCTCCTCCTCCTCCCAGCCCCTGGTAAAATCACCATTCTACTTTCTGATTTTGACTACTATAAATACCTCGTATAAGGGGAATCATATAGTGTTTGTTCTTTTGTGACTTTATTTTACTTAACATAATGTCCTCAGGGGTCATCCACGGAGTAATTTGTGACAGGATTGCCTTCCTTTTTAAGACTGAATAATTTTGTTGAATGTATATACCACATTTTGGTTTATCTGTTATCCATCGATGGACATTTTGGTTGTTTCCATCTCTTAGCTATCGTGACTATTGCTGCTGTGAATGTGGGTGTGCATAACTCTTTGAGACCCCGCTTTCAATTCTTTTGGGTATATACCTAGAAGTGGGATTGTGGAATCATATGGTAGTTATATTTTTAATTTTTGAGGAACCACCATACTGTTTTCCATAGCAGTTGCACAATTTTACAATTCCACCAACTGTGAAGAAGGGTTCCAGTTTCTTTACACTCTTGCCAATGCTTGTTATTTTAGTTTTCTTGATAGTAGTCATCTTAATGGATGTCAAAGTATGACTCTTTAAGTGTGTGTAAAAAAATAATAATGGCTAACGTTGAGCACTTTCTATGTGCTAATACAAGTATCTCATTTAGTTATAATCCTATGAAGTTTTTATTCACCTATGAGGTGATTATACCATTTTATAGGTTAGAAAACTGAGGCACTGAAAGATGATGTCTCTTGCCCAGGGACCCTCTAATATTCAATTGTGGAGTCAGAAATTGATCTCAGCTAATCTGAACCCAGTGTCTCTCCTCACCATCAACCATTAGGATGTTCTTTATCATAAGTTGAATATTTTAATGTAATGAGGAACACTGATAACAGGCACATTTAACATAGGTGTTGATCTGTAGGGTCAGTGGTATTTTTTTAAAACAGTTTTTACTTTGAAGAAGAATATTTATAATGATGGAATTTACATATTTTGGAAGTGTATTTAAATAGTAATCAAAGTTTGTGAGCTTCTAGCTAAAATGGTAAAATTTCAAAATTTCTAGATTTTTAAAAATTTATTATTGGTCCCAGTCATGTTATGTTTTAGTATGTTGTTAACTTTGCGTGTGTGTGTGTGTGTGTAACTTTGTAGTCTAGGTTTGAGAAAGGAACATTTATAATGGGATATAGATCAGACTATTGACTAAGATTTTATGGAATTGGAGGGAAAGTAATTTTTCAGTTGGTGGTTTTGATTGAATTAGAATATTTATTTGCTAATAGTTTTGCTTACTACTATGAAGTGTAGTGCTTTATGTCGAATCTGC